TACCCCACGGGCGGGCTTTCCCCCCCCCCCCCCAATGAGGGGACGACCCGGAATGGGGTTCCAGAACCTCTGCAACAAAATTCTTTAAAAAAATGTTTTAAAGTTCGTGAGTTTTCAGCATACAGATTGCAAGCTTCATTTCCCTCTTGAGAGTTCTGGCACCAATTTGGTGTGGTGGTCAGGAGCCCAGTAATCTGGGAGAACTGGGTTTGATTCCCCACTTCTCCACTTGCACCTCCTGGCCTGACCTTGGATCAGTCACAAGTTCTCTTGGAGCTGTTCTCTCAGGAGCAGTCCTCAAGAGAGCTCTCTCAGTCCCACCTCCCAACCCCACAGGGTGTCTGTTTTGGGGAGGGGAAGGGAAAGGCGCTTGTAACCTGCTCTGAGACTCCTTCAGGTAGTGAAGGGCGGGGTATAAATTCAGTCTCTTCTTCTCCCCCATCTACAGATTCACCACCTCCCCCCTCATCCCAGAAGCCCCTGTGCCCTGACCTGGGGAGGTTACGCCACCACCCCCAGCACCCCTTCCCCTCTGCTGGCTGCTGGGACAGAGTTTTTCTCAAATGCCTCTGGCCCGTATTGTGGGGATGGTCAAGCCATTACAAGTCATTTTCTCCTGGGCTCTCGTTTACACTGAGAATTCGCTCCCAGGACGGACTGATAGGCAAGAGATCAAGGAAAGGCCCCCCTCCCATCCAAACAGAGCGTGGTGTTGAATTTTGGGAAACAAGTGCTCCAGAGATCAAAGGTGAGGACACTATGGATGCGGTCACACACACACACTAAATAATTCACTTTCAAAGCACTTTCCAACTGGATTTTGCCAGTTCACACAGTAAAATCCATTTGGAAAGGGCACTGAAAGTGGGTTATTTCCTGTCTGTAACCACAGCCTATGACTTTAGACATCTGCAGCTAATGATTCATGCAGTTTTGTTACCAGGAGGCCCATGGGCCCCGAGAGGTTTGCAGCCAGCTCCATGGACTTTGCAAGCACTGGCTGGAGCCAGAGAGGCGCACCAAGAAGCAGATCCTGGACCTGGTGATCCTGGAGCAGTTCCTGGCCATCCTGCCCCCGGAAATGCAGGGCTGGGTCAGAGGATGCGGGCCGGAGACCAGTTCCCAGGCGGTGGCCCTGGCCGAAGGCTTCCTCCTGAGTCAGGCAGAGGAGGAGAGGCAGGCACGGCAGGTGACAGGGCTTCATTCATTCAATTCAGGCGACAACTTTATCCTAAGACTTCCCTGCCAGATACTTCTGCCTCTAGATAACTCACTTGGCTGGGGAGAAAACCCATCCCTGATTCTCCTCTTTACCCATCTCCTTCTCTGCTCTTTCAGATGTGGGGACCATCAGTGAAGATGGAAGCAAAGTTCTCTGAGGCAGGAGGAGCTCCGTCGGAGGAAAGTCCGAGGGCGCCGGCCCAGGAGGGTGCCCAAGGTGCCCTGCTGCCAATTGGTAAGACGGTGCCTCCTGCCCGGATGGGATTTGGGCGCATAATGAAGTAATTGGGTAGAAGATATAGGAGAAGAAAGAAATGAAATACGGGGGCACTCAACATGGAGTACACTTCTGGGACTCAGGGCCATAGGATGTAGTGGGGGCCAGTCAATTGGAGGGGAATTAGACAGATTCATGGGAGGATATGGTGGAGGTTTCCCATTTTAAATCCTTTGGGTTCTGGTTGGACCAGAGATTAACTTGGTCAGTGCAAGATGCTCATGTTAAAAGGTTGGCTACAGCAGCATCAAATATCATCTCTGGTTTCTTTCATTCATCTGGGGCTCAGTGTATCCCAGCCGCCATCAAACGGTTTAATGCCAAGGTGGCCACAACGAAACTTCTATGGAGTTGGTATCTGGATTGACAAAACAGGGGAGTCCTTTGATTCTTCTTGAAAACCTGAACTCAGGACACTCTGGAAACCCATTAGTGTTACCTTAGATTTTCCAGAGCATCGAATGAGGTAGAATCGTAGAAGCATAGAGTTGGAAGGGACCTCCAGGGTCACCTAGTAACCCCCCCCCCCGCACAATGCAGGAAATTCACAACTACCTAGAAGGTGCCAGAGTCACATCTTGGCTTTTGGCAGGAAGTGACGGAGACCTGTTGCACAACATCATTTCCGGCCCTCTCTTCCTCCTGCCAGTTTGAAAACAAGTAAACCAAAGAAGGGATCGCAGTTACAGGAAATTATATCAAAGCAAAGAAACATTAGAACAAAACCATATTCCATTCTGCGTCATGTTTCTTTCCATTCTAAATAACCATGTTTGTTCCAAGATGATTTGAGGAACTTAAAAAAGAATTTAAGCGGCAATGATTTGAAGAAAGTAAAAAAAGAATTTACGCTGTCACTATTTGAAGGAAAGCCCCAAAGAACTTAAGCTGTAGCAAGAGGCTGACACCTTTCGGGTATGTTGTAGGTATGTAGGGCTTTCTTTCAGCTATGCTCCCGCAGAGTGCAGGGGGTTTGACTGGATGACATGCAAGATCCCTTCCAACAACATTTACTATTCTATGACCTTCTAATATAATAGGACTACTCCTGAGGAAGATTGGTGAAATGAGTGTATAACCGGGTGCTCCTTGAGGATGTTGGACTTTTCCTTGAAAATGTCAGAATTTCCTCCTAAGCAATATTGTGAAAGTTGTAATTGGTATACAAACTGATGTTCATAGGAATGATTAAATGTTATTGTCAATTTTATCACGGTGTTCCTTTGTTTCGATATCATTGGAAAACCAGGGCACGTTTACGAAAAATCGTTACAAGTTTTGTTGAGTGTACATAGAGCATGGTTTCATAGTCTTGGGAACAGGGACGCCGGAAGCCGGATTCAGACAAGCAAATGAAACAGGAAGTCTAGGCTAACCCTTCCCCTTCCAATTTTGTCCCCCTTCCAGCCAGTGGAGAGACGCCGTCCAGCCGTTGTCTTTGCAAAGGTGTGGAAATGGCCACTGCACCTCTAGTTCAGGTAGGGGAGATGAGCGGGGGGGGAATAGCCTGGGTCTCCCTTTCTCAGGGGGGCTTTTGCTCCTGCAGTTGCTACAAAGGTGTCCGAGGGGAAGAGGCACCGAGCACCACTCTGGTTTCCATGTCAAGCTCATAAGAACATAAGAGATGCCAATGTTGGATCAGGCCAAAGGCCCATCCAGTCCAACACTCTGTATCCCACAGTGGCCAGAAATACCAGTGCCATCAGGAGGTCCACCAGTGGGGCCAGGACATTAGAAGCCATCCCACTGTTGACCCCCCCCCCAAGCACCAAGAAGACAGAGCATCACTTGCCCCAGAGTCCCTATCTATCCCTTGTGGCTAAGAGCCACTGATGGGCCTCTGCTCCATATGCTTATCTAATTCCCTTTTGAAGCCGTCCATGCTTGTAGCTCTCCTTCCTGTACCCTCCCAGAATGCACTGTGTTCCAGTGTGCTGTCTCTGCATGGGGTGATCCGATGAGGAAATCTGCTTTTTCTTCCAGGGTCCCTTTTCGTTTGAGGAAGTGGCCGTGTACTTCACCGAGGCCGAATGGGCCCTGCTGGATCCAGGCCAAATTGCTCTCTACAGGGAAGTCATGCTGGAGAACTATAGGAGTGTGGCCTTTCTGGGTAAGGATCTTCGATAGGTGCTAAAGATGTGAATTGCTGCCATTGGGAATGGGCAGGAATCAAAATATTGGACGTGAATACATCGTTTTCAGGCCTGCCCCACTATTTGTCCCCTGTTGGGGGTCTCGAGGATTTGGAGTGGCAGTGAAAGTGACGTTCAGCATGGACTGGGAGAGTGACCCAAGCCAGTTGGCTGGCCCAGAGGCAATTGAGAGGGGGGTGTCCTGGCCTGAGGCAAAAGTGGGGCTGAGGCCCTCGGAAAGACTCCGAAAGGGGCCAGACCCTAATTCTCAGTTGCCAACCTTTACAGCACACCCTCCCCCCTGAATGGGATTGCAGTCATCTGTTGTGACTGAGATCTGGAACGGATCTGTCCCCCTTACACCAGTTGGTGGGATGGTGAACTTTGATCTTGATCAAACAGAAGAATTTCTCTTGTTTTCATGGATTTCTTTCTTTTCCCATATAACAATGATCACCAGTTCAGTGTAGTGGTTAAGTGCGCCGACTCTCATCTGGGAGAACCGGGTTTGATTCCCCCACTTCTCCACATGCAGCTGCCAGTGTGACCTTGGGTCAGTCACAAGTTCTCTCAGAGGTGTTCGCTCAGAGCAGTTCTCGAAGAGCTCTCTGAGCCCCACCTACCTCACAGGGTGTCTGTTGTGGGGAGGGGAAGGGAAAGGAGTTTGTAAGCTGCGCTGAGACTCCGAGTGAAGGGCGGGGCATAAATCCAATCTCCTCCTCCTCCTCCCTCTTCCAAGGAAGCCAGGAATGTAAGAGAGACTAGGGTGTAGACAGACAAAAGCCTTACATCTGAAGAAAGGCTGGAGAGTTTCTCAGGAGGATCTCGGGGGGTATTTCCTTCCCAGATGAGTTGGCTGAGAGTGAGTATCTTCACGGTCATCAGGGCTCTTTTTGTAGCAGGAACTCCTTTGCATATTAGGCGACACACCCCTAATATAGCCAATCCTCCAAGAGCTTACAGTAGCCCCTGTAAGAAGAGGTCTGTGAGCTCTTGGAGGATTGGCTACATTAGGGGTGTGTCGCCTAGTATGCAAAGGAGTTCTTGCTACAAAAAGAGCCCTGTTAGGGTTACGTCGAGGGAATGAGCAAGGAATGGAAATGGAGGATTTCTGGTTTCACTTCTTGGCAACTCTTAGTTAGGTAGGATTATAAAGCCCGCTGGGTAGGGAGGGAGGGAAGCCTTCTAGGGCCTGGGATCTGGAGGCTCAGAAGCTCCTTCTGGGGCGCAGCTCAGCTGTGGCACAAGGATCTACACAGCGGTACTGAAGTTAAGCTGTGGCAATCACTTTCTGGCTAGCTGTGCTTCCCGCGGCAGCCATTTTGTTCCTGCATCCACCGTGTGGTGTCAAAACTCCACATGCACCTGCAGGCTTAAAAATCTTGGGGGGCCCTGAGCCAGAAACCCTCTGGCCTTCCTCCCCCAACAACTGGCATACTTACCAAAAATCATGGTGTCCACTTTGAACTGTGGGATTCAATTCGTGAGCTCCTGGGAAGGCTGAAAACCAGCTTCTCATGGCTGCCACCAGACCAGGAAGGAACCTCTCTGTATAGTCACTGGGCTAGATATCACGGTAACGTCTTGTACTTAACCATCCAAAGATCCGCATGGCAAGCAATGCTCCGTCTAAGCTGTGGAGTCCTGTGCGCAACAATTCTACTTTGTGAGCTACCAGCATTAACGTTGTGAGTGAGCGATTTGGCGACCACATAAATTAGTTTGCTCTGGAGCAGTGTTCCCTCTAAGCTGAGATACTGTGAGCTAGCTCACAGTTTTTTAGCCTCTGGCTCACACATTTTTCTCTTAGCTCAGGAAGGGATGGCTCCAGAGCAAACTAATTTATGCAACAGCCAAATTGCTCCCTCATAACTTTAAAGCCAGCAGCTCACAAAATAGAATTTTTTCTCACAAGACTCCACAGCTTAGAGGGAACATTGCTCTGGAGCCATCCCTCCTGAGCTAAGACAAAAATGTGTGAGCTGGAGGCTAAAAAACTGTGAGCTAGCTCACTCAAACTCAGTTTAGAGGGAACACTGACGGCAGGTTCAATACGAAGGGTGGGGGGACGAATCTTTGCCGGTTTGGTGTAGTGGTTAAGTGCGTGGACTCTAGTCTGGGAGAGCCGGGTTTGATTCCCCACTCCTCCACTTGCACCTGCTGGATGGCCTTGGGCAAGCCATAGTTCTGGCAGAGCTGTTCTTGAATAAGAGCAGTTTCTGTCAGAGCTCTCTCAGCCCCACCTACCTCACAGGGTGTCTGTTGTGGAGAGGGGAAGGGAAAGGAGTTTGTAAGCCGCTCTGAGACTCCTTTGGGTAGTGAAGGGCAGAGTATAAATCCAATCTTCAAGTACATATTAGGGTGTTTTAGGGAGGGGAGGGAGAGTCAGAATATAAAACAGCACCACTGAAGGGTCCCGACCAGGGAGAAGTTGTGACCAGCGGATCAGGTTGACTGGAAGGGGGGGAGAGAAACTCTGACAGAGGAAACAAAAGGCATACCTATCAGTCAAGAGGGCCTGATTAGTAGTGTGGCTTCTTGCATGAGTGCTGATTGTATCTCTCCTTTATTCCAGCGGAAGATATCAATGGTGAGGAGACAAGGGGAAAACCCATGCCTTGCCAAGGAGGGGATTTCCATGAAGTAATTCACACGGAGGAGGAAACACACAAATGCTTGGATTGGGGACTGAATTTCTCAGATCAAACTCAGTATGAGATCGATCTGCAAAAGCACCCTACAGAGAAGGCCCATAATTGCTCACAGTGTGGAAAGAGCTTCCTTTGTGGAGAAGAGCTCATGAAACACCAAAGAATACATACAGGAGAGAAACTGTACTGCTGCTCTGACTGTGACGAGAGGTTCTCAGAGAAATCAAACTTTATTCAACACCAGTGTTCCCACCATTCAGGAGAAGAGCCCTTTGTCTGCTCAGAGAGTAGGAAGAGTTTCTTTGATCAGAAGGCACATAAATGCCTTCTGTGTGGAAAGTGTTTCAAATACAGATCACATCTCTATTTTCACCAAACAATCCACGCAGAGGATAAACCTTTTGAGTGTTCAGAGTGTGGAAAGAGATTCATTAAGAGTGGCCATCTTCAACTGCATCAAATAATCCACACAAGGGAGAAACCTTTTGAATGCTCAGAGTGTGGAAAGAAATACAGTCACAGAGGGAGCTTTCAACGACATCAAAGGATCCACACAGGGGAGAAGCCTTTTGAGTGCTCAGAGTGTGGAAAGAGATTCAGTCGGAGTGGCAAACTTCAACAGCATCAGAGAACCCACACAGGGGAGAAGCCTTTTGAATGCTCAGAGTGTGGAAAGAGATTCAGTCGGAGTGACCATCTTCAACAGCATCAAAGAAGCCACACAGGGGAGAAACCTTTTGAATGCTCAGAGTGTGGAAAGAGATTCAGTGAGAGTGGCAGTCTTCAAAAGCATCACAGAACCCACACAGGAAAGAAACCTTTTGAATGCTCAGAGTGTGGAAAGAGATACAGTCTAACTGGCACTCTTCAGAGGCACCAAACAACTCACACAGGGGAGAAACCTTTTGAATGCTCAGAGTGTGGAAAGAGATTCCGTGAGAGTGGCACTCTTCAAAAGCATCACAGAACCCACACAGGGGAGAAACCTTTTGAATGCTCAGAGTGTGGAAAGAGATTCAGTTGGAGTGCCAGTCTTCGACTGCACAGAAGAACCCACACAGGGGAGAAACCTTTTGAATGCTCAGAGTGTGGAAAGCGATTCAGTCACAGTGGCACTCTTCAGGATCATCAAAGGACCCACACAGGGGAGAAACCTTTTGAATGCTCAGAGTGTGGAAAGAGATTCAGTCGGAGCTGCAGTCTTCGTCTGCATACAAGAACCCACACAGGGGAGAAACCTTTTGAATGCTCAGAGTGTGGAAAGAGATTCAGTCGGAATGCCCATCTTCAACTGCATCGAGTAATCCACACAAGGGACAAACCTTTTCAGTGCTCAGAGTGTGGAAAGAAATTCAGTCACAGATGGAGCTTTCAACGGCATCAAAGGATCCACACAGGGGAGAAGCCTTTTGAATGCTCAGAGTGTGGAAAGAGATTCAGTCAGAGTAGCAGTCTTCGACTGCACAGAAGAACCCACACAGGGGAGAAACCTTTTGAATGCTCAGAGTGGGGAAAGAGATTCAGTCAGAGTAGCAGTCTTCGACTGCACAGAAGAACCCACACAGGGGAGAAACCTTTTGAATGCTCAGAGTGGGGAAAGAGATTCAGTCAGAGTAGCAGTCTTCGACTGCACAGAAGAACCCACACAGGGGAGAACCCTTTTGAATGCTCAGAGTGTGGAAAGAGATTCAGTCAGAGTGCCAGTCTTGGACTGCACAGAAGAACCCACACAGGGGAGAAACCTTTTGAATGCTCAGAGTGTGGAAAGAGATTCAGTCAGAGTGGCACTCTTCAGGATCATCGAAGGACCCACACAGGGGAGAAACCTTTTGAATGCTCAGTGTGTGGAAAGAGATTCAGTCAGAGCTGCAGTCTTCGTCTGCATAGAAGAACCCACACAGGGGAGAAACCTTTTGAATGCTCAGAGTGTGGAAAGAGATTCAGTCAGAGCAGCAGTCTTCGTCTGCACCAAAGAACCCACAGAAACCTTTGAAAGCTCAGAGTTTAGAACATATTTCATTTGGAGTTTTACTCTTCAACAGCATCAAAGAATCCCCAAAGGGGCAGGGCATCACCATGAAAGATGGCTGATGCTTAATTTCGGTGCTCCTCTCCCTTCTCTAACCCTGGCAATGTAACACCTAAGGAAAACAGACCAAACTGATTGTAAAGTATGAAAACATATCAGTTAATGAAAAATCAACCCATTAGCCAATGTTCTCATCCGACCCACACCTTTTTCAAGGCAAAAGAAGACTGTGCTTGCTTTGAGGCCTCAGATGCTGGAACAACCAACATGGCAGACGCCCATATTGACACCCAGCAGTTGGTAAACCCTCTCAACAAACATCAACTTACGCTCTCTACTTGAAAGAGGAATCTTGGATAAAACCTCCACATTACTCCCTCCGCTGAAAGAACAATTGGACAAAGTAGAACTAGTGCTACAACAAACCTCGCAATTGGCAGAAATGGCAATGCAAATTGGTCTATCTTTTCAGGATGCTCTCTCCAAACTTCAGACAGGAACAATAAGATGATAATCCTTGGAAGCCTGATTAAACAAAATAACCTGAAATTTCGGGGTCTGGAGGAAGACGCAGAGGGCTCAATGGACTTGACAAGCTTCCTCTCAGTTTGGCTCTCATTGGTGATACAGTTGGGAGAGGGCATAGCTCCAATGATCACCTTTTAGAGCTAGCCTTCCTAACAACTTGAAATGAAGGGTCCCAAGGGATATAATTGTCTACTTCACAGACTGGTGAACAAAAAAACACATTCAAGAGACAGCAAGGGTAAAAGGCCATTTCTTTCACAAAGACAAAGAGATCTCGGTGTTTCCAGATATCCCATCAGAAGCACTGCAAATCCAGAGAAATATGAAACCAATAACACTCAAACTACAAACAGTAAATATCCAGTACAAGTGGATGTCCTCTGGAAAACTCCAAGTCAGTCATCCTGGCCGGACTCTTTCTGCTTTTGATGAAAATACTGGTCTTGATCTCCTGTACGAGCTACAGCTGGACGGCGATCAAGATCACAAATCGTATTTAAAAAACCTCCAAAGGAATGCAAACTACCAATCTGTGTTTCTAGCTGATTTCTGTAGATGTTGAATAACTTTGAGAGTAAGACTGATCTATAAACCTTTCAATTTGTTTGTAAGTCTGTTTTCCATTCATATGCACAGTGATTAGACATCAATCGGGGGGGGGAGAATCCAATGTTGGATACATCCTTTATAAGAGAGATTCTATTTGGAAGCAAAGCCACAAACCTAAAGTTTGACATCTGGGAACCATAAAGAATCCACAATACTTTGTTCAGCCTTTACAGAATAAGTATCTTGTTAATAACTGATTTAAACTTTTTGGAGTGAGTTCGTATTGATAGAGCTTGCCTGTATTAAAACTATTCGTAGTTTATACAGTTTGATAGGGGATGAGCAAAGGGGGGTATTGTTACGGTTTGAGTTTGTGATTTGATAGGCTATATTATTCACACCTTTTATAAGTTTTTCAAGTTCTCAATGTTTATTGAATATCTAAGGTCACTGCATTTGACAGAGATTGAAGGAGGGGAGGGGGGAGAAGTTTGGTAGTTTGTTGTTAAAAATAGGTAGTTACAGATGTTATTGTACTTGATCCCACCACCACAAAACTCTACACATCAATCAATACAAGTTAAAACAATTAACATTAAATTTAATACCTCAGTGAAATAATCTTAGATTAGTGAATATTAAAGGTCTAACAACATTTCTTAAGGTGTAAAGTGTTATTTTTCTATTCAATCTTTGTCTAAATCCTAAAAGAAAAAGTCAGATTTATTTGAATTATTATTAGTAGCAGTTGTATTTTGACTGTTTTTCTTAGTTGTCAGTTTTGTATCTCCCCTTGATCGTATGTCGAACCATTTATTATGTCTAACTCTATTAACATTGTATCCGTTAAATATCAGAGGACTTAAACACAAAATAAAGCAAAAAAGATTAGCCAGTGTGAGATTATGGCCAAATATCTTGTTCTAACCAGAAACGCATATAAAATCTTTGACCCTCCCACTACTCAAAACACCATGGTTTCCAATCCAGTTTCAAGCCCCAGGTATATCAAAAGCCCAGATCATGGCCATCCTTATTTCCCAATCAACCAGCTTTACCTTAGAAGCCACAATTACAGATCCCAGAGGTAGTTTCTTATTTGTTAAAGGTATGCTAGGCAATGAGAAAATCACATTGGCCACAGTTTATGTATACATCATAGAATCATAGAGTTGGAAGGAACTAAGCACTGAGGCAACCTTTCCTGCCCCCCCTCATGATCTGCCTAAGCTCACAGAATCTGCATTGTTGGAAAACCTCCAAAGAAGGAGAGTCCACCACTTCCTAAGGAAGCCTATTCCACTGAGGAACCGCTCCAACTTAACGTTAAGCCGAAAACTCTTCTAATTTAATTTCAACCTGTTGGTTCTGATCTGACCTTCTGGGGTAAGAGAAAACAACTCCACACCATCCTCTATATGGCAGCCCTTCAAGTACCTGAAGATGGTTATTATATCAACTCTTAGTCATCTCCTCTCCAGGCTAAACCTACCCAGCTCCTTCAACCTTTCCTCATAGTACTTGGTCTCCAAACCCCTCACTATCTTTGTTGCTCTCCTCTGGACACATTCCAGATTGTCTATATCCTTGTTAAACTGTGGTGCCCAAAATGGAACACAATACTCTAGGTGAGGTCTAACCAGAGCAGAGAAAAGTGGTACCATAACATCTCATGATCTGGACACTATACTTCTGTTGATACAGCCCAAAATCGCATTTGTCTTTTTAGCAACCACATCACACTGCTGACTTATGTTCAGTGTATAGTCTACAAAGACCCCTAGATCCTTTTCGCACATACTACTGCCACGACAAGTCTCCCCCAACCTATAATTATGCATTTGATTCTTCCCACCGAAATGCAGAACTTTACATTTTTCCCCATTGAAATTCATTTTATTTCTTTTAGCCCAGTTTTCCAGCCTGTCAAGATCATCCTGTATTTGCTACCCCTCCCAATTTAGTATCATCTGCAAATTTAATAAGCATTCCTTCTTTCCTTTCATTCCAGCTCCAATTCTTAGATGAAACCCTTAGCTCACTCCAGACCTTTCAAGAAAGGAATGTAATTCTTGGTGGAGACCTGAATTACATCTCTGATAAACATTTGGACAGGTCTCATCCCAAACTTGTTATAACAACAGCTTCCTTGGCAAAAACCAAACGAGCTTCCTTACTCAACAAGTTCCATCTATAGGATGCCTGGAGATCTTTGCACCCCTCTGAAAGGGACTACATTTACTACTCACCCTGAGACAACACATAGACCAGAACCGACTACATCCTGGTCTCACAGTCTCTGTTGCATCACATCAAATATAGGCCCTAAATTACTAACAGATCATGCTTGGCTTGGCTAATTTGTTCAATTTCACTAATTGAAGAAACAAACACAGGGCAAACATGGCCCTGGGACAAATCAATTTTGTACAAAGAAATATTAAAGTAAATCTTGAAAGAGATATTCTTTTTGAGGATAAAGCCCACTCTGAAGTCTCCCTTCCAGTTGTATGGGACACGATGAAAGCCATCCTGAGAGGCTCAATCATCTCAATATACTCTTGCCTGAAAAATTAAAGAACCAAAATTAAGTCTGCAATTCTGGAAAAGATCAGCTTTTAAGAAAAATAATACAAGAAAGAGGTGGAAAACACCTCTACAAACAACTCTTATCAGAACAAAAAGCTCTAGAACAGTGGTTCTCAACCTGTGGGTCGCAACCCCTTTGAGGGTCGAACGAACCTTTCACAGGGGTCGCCTAAGACCATCGGAAAACACAAATTTTCAATGGTCTTATGATAGCAACGGAAATAATTTTATGGTTGGGGGTCACCACAACATGAGGAACTGTAGTAAAGGGTCACGGCTTTAGGAAGGTTTAGAACCACTGCTCTAGAAGCTCTGGAAACCTCTCGGAGACAGGAAGACTAAACAGGAGTATTAGCAAAAATCAGCTAGGACTCTAAAAGTCCTCTCACGGACAGTCAAAGAGAAAAATCTAGCAAAGAATATTGGATATCTATGAGATCAAAAAGGGACCTTACATCATTCATCGGAAAAAATTGTGGAGATTTTAGCAGACTTTTATAAAGAGCTTTACACCACGAAACACCCTGACAAAAGAACTGATTAATGATTATCTGGATTTGAACACATATAATTGAAATCTCTCAGAAGAACACAAATCTTCCCTAAAAGCACCCAATTACAACACAGAAATTCAAAACACAATAAAAGCACTAAAAAACCACAAATTGCCGGGCAATGATGGGCTTCCCTCTGAATTCTATAAAATCTTCAAAGACTTTCTAGCAATTCCCCTTGCGGAAGTATGTAACATGTGTGTCTTCACCCAATGCTGTTAACACCCTGCGAGAACACAAATCTTCCCTAAAAGCTCCAATGACAACACAGAAATACAAAATACAATAAAAGCACCAAGAAACAATACATTGCCGGGCAATGATGGGCTGCCCTCTCAATTCTATAAAACTTGAGTCTACCAAGTCCCCTTGCAGAAGTATGTAACACGAGTGTCTTCGCCCAATGCTGTTAACACCCTGCGAGAACACCCTGGGCTACCTCCTGTAGCCTTGCCTTGTCGCGCCTTCAGTTCCTCCCCTAGGGGGTCTCCAGAGGTTTTAGAATTGATTGGGGAGTGAGGTTACATCACCACCCCTCCACGAAGGTCCACTGATGCCATTATGTGCAGCTTCTCTTTCTCTGGCTCCCCTCAGGGCCACTGGTCTTCTCCTCGACCATCTGGTTCACCCTCCTTATATCCTCCTCCCAATTCTAGACTTGCCCCCACATTTACCTCCCCATGCCTGCTCTGGATCGTGGGATGCGGCTGCCACATTGCTTCCGGCTGAGAGTGGCTGTATAGA